GCGATTTGTTCATAATTTGATATCAAATGTACTCTATTGCATTCATGGAATATATAGCAAGTTTTCACTTACAAAGATTGACTGATGATTGAAAATCACTTAAACAGAAAAAAATATTAATTTATTTTTTACTTCTTTTTGGGAAATTGTATCTTTAAAGATTATGTTCCGTGATGACGAGAATTTTTTATTCGATGTCTGTAAAAATACCAGGCACAATTTTTTGTTAATATTTCGTTTGTTCGGTAAAAAAACATTGAAATTTATAAAAAGAATATTGTTCATACAGCCTAAACATAAAAGGTATCCTTCTCAGTTGCATAGTACATGTAAGACGCTAAAAAACGACGATTTTCAAATAAGATGTCAAAATTTATTTGTCAAATCCGTGAGTAAATACGTAAACATTAGGCAAAAAAACACTGTTTTGTGTATTTTAACTATATTCAAGATAAAATGAAAAATGTTCACCAGAAAAACAATGTAAAATAGTTTTTTATATTTTTTTACTGACCAATGAAGAAAGAATCCAATATTTATAAGTTTGTATTAATCAATTTGTTGCCTTCAATAAAAGCTGAAAATCCTAAAAATGTCCATGTCGTACGAAATAAAACCCCAGGAATTAGCAGTTAAAAAAAGAGATGACAATGTATATTCCGGCAAATAATGACAATTACCAAATTCGTTTATCATGTGTACATGGCGTTCATTATCACTGAACTAGTATATATATTTGTTTAGGGGCCAGCTGAAGGACGCTTCCGGGTGCGGGAATTTCTCGCTGCATTGAAGACCTGTTGGTGACCTTCTGCTGTTGTCTGTTCTATGGTCGAGTTGTTGTCTCTTTGACACATTCCCCATTTCCATTCTCAATTTTATGTGTATATATTGTATATATTGTATAATTATTACTTATACTGCTTATCTTTATAACGTCATTCAACAAATTTCGAATGTCCAGGTGATGTTCACACCACGAAGTGCTTGAAGAGGAGGGACGACAGCCTAGGTGCCATGTAAAAACGTTTGAGGTCACGTGGTACGATTTCAGCTCCCGTTTTGCCATTTTAGTAAAAGATCTGTATCTGTATGTTACACAGTGCAGGATCCGATCGCGGATATATGTGCACTGGAAGGAGAGTTAGTTGGTTATTCCAACTGTTGAAGGGCAGCCGTGAAACCCTCAACTGTCTTTGAGCATGCGGTATTCTATTCCAGATGGTTCCACTTTACCATTGTTTTCGGGAAAAAAGAGTTCTTACGGACGGATATCTGTTTTACAATCTATCAATTTAAAAGATCTACTATTTCTGGTTTCTTGTCTACTAGTATCTTCAATGTTCGAGTATTGGTAATCATTAAAGATTTTGGCCTTACCTTGGCGTTTTTTTTTTATTTCTTTAAGAAACCCGGTAATTTGTCGGTTCAATAGCCGGCACCAATCCCTCAACCATTTTGTAGAAACCGATCATCCTCTGATGATTTCTTCGTTCCTGGAGAGGTGGTAGTAGTTTCAGCTTGGAAAGCATATTTGTTACACATCCTGTTTTTCTGGATTCGCAATCGTGCATGATGAAACGTGCTCCTCTTTTCTGTATGCATTCAATCTTCTCTATTTCCCTGATGGTAAATGGGTAACAAATGACAGCACCATGTTCAAGTATCGATCTTACCATGGCTAGGTAAGCTAATTTTTTGCACTCTTGGGGGCATTGCCTTGCTTGTAATTTTCCTTATATGGTTGATCCACTTTAGGTCATTAGATATATTTAGACCTAGGTACGGGTTTGTTTGAACTTGCTCTAAAACATGGTTGTCTAGTTGATAGAATTGAGTTGATTTTTGTTTGAAGATAATCATGTAACATTTTATATCATTCCCTATTTTGATAACTTCCAGAACCTTTAGATCTTCTTGGTGAATATGATGGTCCTTCGAGGTTTTAATTTCTCGATAAAGTAGGCAGTCGTCCGCAAATAGACAAACTTGGGATTTTACATTCTGGTAGGTTGTTTATGTGGCTAAGAGCAGCAGTCCTAGTACTGTGCCATGTGGAATGCCAGAGTCTACGTGGGCATATCCTGAGTGCTCACTTTCAAAAACAACCCGCATAGATCTTTTTTGTAGGAATGACGCTAACCATGCATTCAGATTTCCATCTATTCCATAGCTGTTTAGTTTTGCCAGGAGTTTATCGTGTGGCACGGTACCAAATGCCTTTGAAAAGTCGAGTATGGCGATATCAAGTTGGATGCTGTTGTCAAAACTCTTTTAGTATCTCTGGTATCTTTCGCCTCTCTTTTAGTAGTCTTCTGTTGTGACTAAGCGCTGTGCAGGAGTAACCTGATCTGAAACCGTGATTAAAATTTTTCAGTATTTTGTGCTTTTCCAGGTGTTTTAGAATGGGTTTGCAGATTATGTGTTCCAACAGCTTGCATGATACGCTGGTCAGTGAGACTGGCCTGTAATTTTCTGCTGTGTGGACATCTCCCTTTTTAAACACTGGGGCTATGTTTGTACTTAATCAATCTTCAGGTAGGATGCTGCTATTTATTGAATGTTGAAAGATGGCGGTTCCAGTTCTTCTGCACATTTTTTTAGAACGGTGTTTGGAATTCCGTCTGGCCCCATGGCTTTTGATGGATTTATATTTTTATTTTTAAGTTATGTCCAATTTTGAAATATTTGAAGTTGTTCTTTTTTTCAGCTCTGGTATTTGTGAATTTGGACCTAATTTTGCGAATACGGATTTGAACTGGTTGTTAAAATTTCTGCTTTTTCTTTGATGGCGATTTTAAGGCCTCCATTTGACTTGAGCAGTGCTGTACCAATGTTGTCTTGTTTCTTTGCTTTCACGTAGTTCCAGAATGGTTTAGAACTATTTTTTCGGATCCTGCACTTATGATGTCATTTATCTAATTCCATCCTGCACTTCTGAATTGGCGTTTGCAGTCTTTTTGTAAATGTTTATATACTTTGTAGATTTCAGTTTGCTTTGCATGTTTGTGTAGTCTTGCTTTTCTTTTGAGCATTTTACGTATATTATCTGTTTAACCATGGAACTGAATGCTTTTCCTGATAATTTTAGATGACACAACGAGGTCGATTGATGCTTGTACTTCATTCTTTAAGGTTTTCCAGGTTTTGTCTATTGGCATTTCATTTATATGATTACAGATGTCCTTTGTTATTATATTTATGTCGGTTTTTATCTGATCCCAGTTTGCTTTTCCAAAGATGTATCGTTTGTGTGTGTGTTACTTACAGTAGTATGGTTTTATCAAGGAATAATCTGTAATGACGATGTCATGGCCTGAAATTCCTTTTGCATTGCCAGTTGATTTAATAAGGGACGGGTTGTTTGTGAATACCAAAACCAGCAGGTTTCCCTTTCTTGTTGGTTTGTTATGGATTTGGACAAGGCCGTATACTATAGATAGGTTCATTAGTGCCTGTTGTATTTCTTTGTCTGATGCTCCTGTTTTTAGTTCCATGTTGGTCCAATCAATGTCTGGGCAGTTGAAATCACCATCGATAATGATGTGTTTAGGTTTTCCTATTGTTAGCTTTTCTAGAGATAGTTTCAGGTTCATTATGTATTTTATATTTCTATGAGGCATGTAGTATGATGCAATGTAAAGGTCTTTGCTGTTTTCGACTTGATTTTGGACCATTCTATTTTGCCGTCTGTGACGGGTTCTATGAATTCAGTTGAAATAACATAATCGAGTATTCCTAAAAATACTCCGCCCCCAAGACTGCCTGTGTCGTTTCTGTAGATTTTATAGTTTTCTGGGAAAACTTTAGATGATTTTATGGCGTCTTTCTTCATTCGCTTCCCTGGTTTAATTCCTTTTAGCTAAGATTCGGTACCAACTATGATGTCTGGTTTGATGTAGTAAGTGGAAGCAGATGGTTCAGCTTTTTTGTATACCGTCATTATACGTAGAAATTTAAATGCATTTGAATTAGTGGCGTTTGTTGTACTATTTGTAAGGTTGCAGCTCTTTTTATCGTTTCTACTGTATCTACTCATTTCAATGGATTTTGGGCTACTAGTGTGCAATGGACTGAAAACTGATGAATTGAGATCACTATCTATTTAAAAGTTGGTTCTTGAGAGTGGTGAGAACATTTTGTTATATAAAGTTCAAAACTGTGGTAGGTAAACGAGTCCAGATGTATGGACACTGCACGTTTGATCTATGAAGTAATTCATAGTCCTTAAAACAGAGTCCAATACATGATTTGCGATGCCAAACATTGCAGTCATCACATCATACACCTTCGCATGACCATGTGACAGGTCTGTCACACAAGCCGCAAAGATTTATGGTGATATTTCGGTGTTGAGGACCAGGATTTTGTTGGATATCTCTAATAAAAGAACTAGATTTAGAATGCATTTGAGTTTTGGGTTGTTTATAGATCCGTTATGATATTTTAATTTTCCCTGATGATGAGAATATCCAAGATTGGATGTTTACATGTCATGATTTCTTTCGGACAAACTTTTTCGGTCAGTAGTTTCTTGCGTGTCAAATGTTGCGCGTACGGTTTCTACCGTTTCTTTTAGCTCTTCTAACATTTCTTTTCCATGGTGTAACATTTCTAGATTTCAATAAATCTGCGAATTGATACCCTTTTCTTTGGGTGGTTCTTGATTGTGATCCTGAACGAGATCTGAAGTTCGATCGATGTTAGCAGGTTGCACATTTTTACATATATATATATATATATATATGTGTGTGTGTAAACAAGTCTATAAATACGACCATCCAGCAAATTTAATAGGAATCGCATAGTATAGAATAGGCGATTCTCAGTGTTTTCCAACCAAAGAGATCAAATCGAGTGTAAATGAAACCACAAACAAAATGTTTAGGATGTAATTTTTGTTTTTGGATTGGGCATGATATAGTTTTTAAAATCAGGACAAAATTTAAGCAACCCTTGTCCGAATCATTTATTTAATTTTCCATATCTATATCTTTCAGCAACATCTGATGAACAGCTTTATGGTGTAACTGTTTACCTTGAAGGTTTAACAAGAGATCAGGTACTGACAATTGATCCATGCTATTCACTAGTTCCTAGTTCCATAAAACATAATGTGACTTTTAAAAAAGCTATAACTTATTGGTTGGATTTAATAAATTGGCACCAAATATCCAAAATCATTCAGATATTTTAGATGAGTCAGAATCCTCTATCTGGTTACGCCATTATGTTTGTTGTAAAACAATTTTTTTCCAACAAATATATGTTCTTTATTCTTCAGATTGCCTGTTACAATTATACTTCACTGTCCAAGCTCAAGTGAAGTATCCCTGTGATATGCTTTCTGAGTATCTAGGTAAATACTCAGAATATATCAATCTTTTTAAATTTATGAAAAATATATTTTGAGTTACCTTTTTGATCTCAGTCATAACCTTTCGTAGTTCATTTATAAACAGATCATTTAAAAATTTCTTTTTTTTTTCTGAAACATAGTATGACTTGTAAATACAAAAACCTAAAACTGTAACTTGAACAAAAAATAGTTAAAACCATAAAACCCATGATCCGATATTTTGTATCCTAATACTATATGTTTTACTGATATCTTGTGGTAAAGAATTAAGATATCAAACTAAAATGATAAGGATGAAAAATAAATTTTATTTGTATATGCCCATTACCGTCGAGTATCCATCCGTCTGAAATTGCAGTATTTTCACATTTGAACCAGGATAAAAAAAAAGTGTGGGAGTTGCATTATACTAAGGACAGTTGTACAGATATCAACATCAAATGTATTTGATACATACAACAAAGTAAAGCTAGAAACTCCAGGTAATGGAAAAGGCCCTATTTATGAGGTTTTCAAAATTAATAACAAGACTTAGAATTTTGCATTTCAATTCTTAATAAATCAATTTTGCAATAATGAAAATAAACAATTGATAGTGTGTGTGTACAAACCGAAACATGAAGTGGAAATATTTTTTTTCAATAATTTGACTATTCATGGCTGTTTTTTGTTGGGTTTTTTCCTGGCGCCACCCATAGCCCATGCATATATTTATATAAAAATACAGTATATGATTTTCCTACCTTTCAACCAACATGACCGACATTGTTAATAATAGAACATAGGGGTAAATTGCAAGTTTTGTTTGTTATCTTGAAAACCGCTATAGAAAAAGAAAATCTGACGGGGTTGAAATGTTTAAAATCTTGAAATCTACCTACTGTCCATTTGCATCAATACTGTCAGACAACTTCTTATAGGAGTTATTGCCATTAAATGCTGAATTTTACCATTTATTTTGTATTTTGCCTATTACTTAAAAACTTTAATAGAAAGAGAGAAACTTAAAATAACAAACATGATCAACAAGACATGATTTAGAAATAAGTAGGCAATGAACGAAATCGTCAGACGGCTTCTTATAGGAGTAATTGCCCTTAAATGACAATTTTCATGAATGTTTCTTTAAAATGCACAAAGGATGAGCAAGACAAGATCTCCAAGTAAGGCAACATGTTCGAATGGTCAAATCGCCCTTAAATGATGATTTTTCTTCACCATTTCTATGCATGTTTGCCTATTGTCTTGAAAACTATAATAGAGAAACCTTTCAATACGAAAAATATTCAGCAAGACAAGTTCTACATATAGGTAAAATAGTAAAAATTGTCAGTTCAATCCTCATTTGAGTTATTGCCCAGAAATCACGATTTTATCGTATTGCGTTATAGGCAAAAAAAACTATAGACGATAGAGAGAAATTAGAAGCAGTAAAAATGATCAGCACGACGTGATAAACAAAAAAGTCGAGAAAGCCAAGATAGTAAGGTCACGTCTTATAGGAATTGCTGCCATTGAATGATGATTTTCATTCTTTTTGTGTGTTTAGCAAAAACATCGAGAGAAACTAAACAGAAAAAAATAAATAGCAATACGAGATTAACAAAAAAGGGAGCTTTTAGTTATGAAATATATTCCAGTCTACAATGTAGGGGAGTGGATCTAGATCTAGGGGAACGACAAAGGCTCTTTAGAGTTTCTATTCAAATATCATCCAACATCTTACATAAATAAGAATTGTGCAACATTAGTCTAACTCCTCCAAAGTCCTGGTTTTCCAAATCTATGTGCATTTCCTACTTTTGGTTTTAATCCAATTTCGATAAACAAAAAAGTCCGGAGATTTCATCAAATTTGTTTTCCTCTTCAAATATTAGTCCAGAAAAAATCAGATTACTTTTCAAGGATCTACAGCGAAGATCAAATACTGACTTCGTATTTGATTTAGCCTTCCAACTGTTGTAATTCGAGCGCCACTGATGAGTTTTATATGAAGACGAAACTTGTCATTACTTTTTAGATGTCAACTCAGGCCTTATATGTACCCAAACGATATTGTTTTACATGATGTCGTATACCAAAATGTTGATGAGGGTAACTTATCTTTTTGTCTTGGCCTTGGTCCATATCTAAATTTCTTTATTTATCCGAATGAAAAATCAAGGTTTGATAAAATTGTGATTGTATTTCAAGTATATATAATTGCATCTGTGATTTGACTGTATTCAATAACTTTTTTTGTTTTATATTTTTTCCGAATTGTTAACGTAGTACTTGTTATTATTTTCTGATTTCTTTCTTTTTTTCAGTTCCTTGCAGTATGCAGCTTTTTCAAAATTGTTTATTTTCGAAATAAGGGTCATCCTAAAAAATACATTAAATATATGTATGGTATTGCTTAATGTATATAAAAGATGATTCAAAACTTAAACATCATTTAAACACGGTAAATCAATCATATTGATAACAAAAAATATTTTCGTGTTTAATTATAAACGAACTGCCGCGTCCCACGTGACATCGCATTTATTGCTACATTTATGTATAAAATAAAACACATATTATAAGGTAAGAAATGATAAACTTTCATTGATCCCTTTTTTTAATTACTATAAAGACCGCGCCGAAATCTGTCGGGATTCGTCTTTTCACAATCGAAAGAACTAATAATTAAGTGTGTCTGGCCTCCAAAATGTGTCTGTATAAATGGTATGTGTTGTTATGTTTTGGTTTTGTTTCATTTTTCTTTTTTCAGTTTTCGTATTGAAATATTTAAAACATGCTGATCACATAAAAAAAATGACGTTCATTGCGTCAAAATTTGGTGAAAAATGTATTTGACGTTAAAACTTATACATGGACATTCTATTCAGACTTTGTATTTATTTCATGTTGGGTTCGGTTTTAGAATAAGATACTTAGTATGAAAGTTTGGGTGTTAGATTTTTCCGCTTGATGAGAACTAACTATATATCAGCTGCAAAACTCAAAGATGTTTATGTGTGCTTTTTTGTGTGTGCTTTAATGATACCCAGAACGTTTTTTGTCGAACAAAAGTAAGAAGTGGACATTTCATTCAGACCTGGCATCTTCATGCCCGTTTCTTTAATTTTCAAAATTTCTCTATGAAATTTGTTTACCGGTTTTGTCAAACATAGAACTTTGTAATCATATATAGAAAACAACTTACCTTTAGTATTTAACCACTTTCTTTGACTTTTTTTAATTCTGTTAAATATCTGACATATTTGTTGGATCTTTAGAATTGGATAGAAAACATTGAAACTTCAACGGAAAGCTTCCATTACTATATGACGTTGATCCATACTATATTATGACGTGAACCTTCTTGGAGTGCTTTTGTGCTTTTGTGTTACTCGTTTATGCGCTTTTTCCGAAATTTTGACAAATTTGACGAAAAATGTTACATCTGACAGGACGTTTTTTTTTTATTGCAGAAGACAATTAAATGCAATGAAATGCACATCAAACCTTAAAATATTATAAAAATAATGCAACAATAGTATTCTTTATTCCTAACGCTTTATTTTGATATATATAATTATATAATATAAGGATCGAGAAAATAATTATAATTCATTGCTTATGTTGGGTTATATCTAATTTCCAGCTCTGTCACAGTAACGTGCTTGTAGTCATATGCGTTCTGGTGTATACAGTGAAGAAATGAAAATTGGTTTAGGTATTTCTTTTATGAAGGTGCGATACCGATACATTGTTAAAATCATACCAGTTATAGTATTTTTATAAATATTACAGGATTATGGTTATGCTATAGCGAAAACATTTTGTAATTTTTCATATCAAAATTTTTTAATGTATTACAGCTGAATAGTGTGGAAACTCCATTTAAACAACTGGTTGCAGACATTGTCAACACTTACTGTAATTACAATGCATCAAATGTCCAACAGTGTTGTCAGATAAGTACCAGTTATTCGTAAGTTTTTCTGGGTTACTAGTACCATGCTTTAAATTTTTTGTATGACCAACCAATTTCTAGTGCCATTATTGATTCCAAGAAAGAGTTAAGGATTTTGAATTAAATTATTATGGGTGATATAGGCAGTTATGGTGTGTCAAACGTTGCAATATTCACAAGAACTAACATATGTGTTTATAAAAACAAAATGTATATTTAAAAAGTCAAAATATGGGTTCATGAAATAAAATATATATGCATAAAAAATATATATAGACGGGTGATTTTCTCCCTCCCACACACATCTCTGGTACCAGACCCGAGTTTAAACTAAAATTGGGACTTTGGGAGCCTCGGTTGGTCAAAGTGGCCCCCGGTTTTGATCTGGAGATCAGTCTGCAGATATCTCTTCGGTTCGTCTGTTTCCGATGAGGAGCCCGGTGATTGTCTCCGAGTACCTTGGCTTCCCCCACCATGATAACAGCCTTCCGGGTGTCCTAACACTCATATGGTGTTGGGTCCGTTGTGGTGGGTTGTGTATAAGTAAGTGGCGCATCTCCATTAATCATCATAGGGAGTGTACACGGATTCCACTGTACCCTCGCAGCCCTCGAGGGGTGCTCCACATAACGGAGGAATTAACGTACATACATACAGGGCATCCCATGATGCAAATTATTGAACGTAACATATATCTTATTTTATGAACACATATTTTGATGTTTTAAATAGGCCCCCTACATATTTTGTTTTTATGAATACATATTTAGTTTTTATGAACAATTATTTGTTTTTATTAAAGTATATTTATTTTTTATAAACATATATTTTATTTTATGAACACATATTTTGACTTTTTAAATTTGATAAATGAAATGTACACATTATGACCTTTCATTTGATATACGACAACCTTACCTTAGAAGACAATTTATTTTTTGCACTCAATGACCCCACCAAACTTGGGGACATAAATTTGATATTTGAAATGTACGCTTTATGGACTTTCATTTGATATGCGACAACCTTACCATCTGTGAAATTTTAATATTTGCACTTAATGATCCCACCCTCCTCTTTAGGCAGGAAAAGAGGGTTTAAATTTTTCATTTTTGAACAAACCTCATTTGGATGTTTAATTTCATATGTCACATGACCCCATTTAACAAAGTCCAAAACATGATGCAATATCAATTTTATAAATAGAACTTACAAAGTCAATGTGAAATATGAAAATTTCAAACTGCTTATTTTTCTTTGTTTTTATGCCCCCACCTACGATAGTAGAGGGGTATTATATTTTTCGGTCTGTGCGTCCATTCGTTCGTCCGTCCGTCCGTTCGTCCGTCTGTCCCGCTTCAGGTTAAAGTTTTTGGTCAAGGTAGTTTTTGATGAAGTTGAAGTCCAATCAACTTGAAACTTAGTACACATGTTCCCTATGATATGATCTTTCTAATTTTAATGCCAAATTACAGTTTTTACCCCAGATTCACGGTCCACTGAACATAGAAAATGATAGTGCGAGTGGGGCATTCGTGTACTATGGACACATTCTTGTTTATCATATGTTTTTGGTATTTAGTCAAACATATAACCATGTTAAACTCTTTAATTTCTGAAAATTTCAGGTGGCTAGCTGATGTTGATTCAGAAATGTTTGCCCCCCCCCCCCCCCCTCACAAAATTTCAAACTGCAATATCTCTAAAACATATATCTCAAATCTTCTAAGTGAAAAATGTTCTGCAGATTACGTACAACACTGTAACAAAAACATTGGACAGAATAATCAAATATATGATGCAATACCAAACTTGAGAACCAGAGGTCGTAGAGACATGGGACTACCACCATTCAACTCAAGACCACTTAACCTTTCAAATGTCACAAGGTCAAGGTCAAAGAACACTTTGAAGGTCAAGTAAAATTTCATCATGACCTTGACATTGACCTCAAATTGAAGGTCTTAAAATATTGATCATTTTTTTGCAATTTATAGTAGCTTGATATCTGTTTACCTTTTCAAAGATATATACACAATACTATACTTTTAAGAATCATCTCGTCGTAACTTTTGAACGGATTGTCGGACAGTTTTGAGCCTAATGTATAAACTGTAGAGCTCTTCGAGAGGAACATTTTATACACTATATGTATGCAGCGATCTCTTATAGTATTCTTAATATGTAAGCTTGAAATTTCAGCGTGAAAACTTTTTTGCACTCGGTGACCTTTGACTAGGAGTGCAAATAAAGGTCACATGAACTAAAGATTACTGGTGAAGGTCCCAAGTCTCCACGACTTCCAGTTCTCGAAATATAATTTTTCAAAAATTGTGTATAATATTTCAAGGGAAATAACTCATATAAGGGTCGATAACAAAATAAATGTTTATGTTATTAGCATTGCCATCTGTTCCTGTATATGTTGCCATTTTCAAATAGATTCTATCTGTAATAATTTTTAAGAAAAATGCAATTAAAAGAAATTGTTTCAATGGGATATAACTCTCAAATTGGATGATGAAATCCTACGCAGCCTCATCTGGTAATACTGCATGGTGAGATCTACCTATTGTCCAAATAAGGTCATGATATCTTCAAAAACAACGAGGGGGGGGCATGTCGAAAAAAATAAATAAAAGGGAGATAACTTCTAAAGGTGATGATGAAATCCTACACAGCCTCATCTGGTAATACTTCATGATGAGGTCTATCGATGGTCCAAATTTGATAACTTCAATAGAAACGGGGGGAGGACATGTCAAAAAAATGTTGGAAGAAAAAAAAAACATTAGAAATACAGTGAGGTCTTTCCTCACGTAAAGGAAAGACCTTAATTATATTTTGTAGAAATCTAATATCTATATCCTGGCATGAACTACCCGACAAGCTCACTGTTAAATACAAAAAACAATTTTTAAACAATCACGGGGCACATGAAGATGTATATTAGATAACTACGCAGGAAATATAAATAAGTTAAAAAGTTCGGATGGACTGCAAAATAATTTCAATAAATCAGCTGGTCGAAAGCAAGAAGATGAAGTAGCACACTGCATCGGTACTATAAAACGAAAAACGACAAAAATTTCGGAAAAAAAATGAATTCCTTAAAAAAATGTAAACAACATTTTTTTTATAAATCACATGCGTCCGAAGCGCTTTTCTATATGTCAATTGATTAAAGATAAATCCAGAAAAGAGCTATGGATGCCCCAAACTAATAAATTGTTATTTTCATTTTAGATGGAAATTTATACGATTATATGTTATACATGTCAATAACGAAAAAGCTGTAAACTTTACAAGTGTTATATTTCAAAGTTATAGTTCATGTTATCTTTCAATATAATGTTTTTATTGGTATACACCATAGTACCTTGAAGATTTTATTGTACGCGTGTGCATGCACTGAGTAATGCGTGCAAACATGATTTGGCTGATATGGGTCTGTTTTAAACTTTACTTACATATCATAGAAGGGTAATCATTTATCAGCAAAAAATTAAACATTTTGGCAATTAAACCAGAAAAGACAAGATAATACAGAGATTCATATTGCCATACGAAAGCAGTGATATGGTATCAATTTGATGACAGAAAGATAGACGCAATTAAGGTTTCATTCCAAATCCACAACTACAAAACATCTTTAGATACAACTTGAGGGCATTATCCCGAATGGGTGTATCTAATTTACACCAAGATATTATTGTCAATGCAGAATGATAGTTTTCAATAATTTAGCAGGGGGTCTTTCAGCGATTTGATCATATATTATTGAAAAGCATGATAAATGCAGGGTATCCAATTTCATTTAACGACATCTTGGTGTAAAGACACTAACATAGGCAGATAATCTATCAATACAATTTAAAATTGTAATGGTATCTATATATGAATTATATATAGATCCATGATATGTCTGCATCGGATTGAAATCATCACTTTGTATTTAACAGTCAAGTACTAATTAGAAAGCTTTCGAGACAAGCAAAGGTAACACTACCCAGAGAAACTTCATCTTTTGAGGATTGGATCTGGTGTAGTGGTTAGAACCTTGCTTTACATGCTAGGCGCATGATCGTCGAAGGATGTAAAATAAATGCTCTAAAGAGCCCGTGTCGCTCACCTGCTTCTTCAACAATGGCCACTTTTTAGTAAAAATCATCATTAAAGAGTAACTCTATTAAGAATAAACTGACAAATTCAGTCATATGGACATATTTGTAGATCTTATCCTGCTGATATTTTTTTCCTTTTTAATGTTTCTATTTGTCTATTACAGATTTTAAGATATAAGGCAAAAACGAAAAATTGGTAAAAATCGTCATTAAAGTGCAATAACTCTAATAAGAAGTCGACTGAAGATTTCGGCCATTTGACTTATTTGTAGATCCTGTCGTGCTGGTCACTTTTGCTTTATAATGTTATATCTATCTATTATAGTTTTTGTCTCGCCTGCGACGAAACTCGCAGACGGGGAGACATAGGTATTGCTTATCTGTCGACGTCGGCGTCAACAATTATTAAATTTTCTGCTTAAGTTAGTTTGATAGGAACTACTTGTGATAGATCAATGATATTTTCTATAAAGTTGCATTACTATCAGTTCATATCAGTTTGATGGCTATTTCGAGGTCCAGCGACTTTTAATTGATTAGCAATTTTCAATGTTAAGTTTTCTGCTTAAGTTAGTTTGATAGGAACTACTTGTGATATATCAATGATATTTCTATAAAGTTGCATTACTAGCAGTTCATATCAGTTTGATGGCTATCTCGAGGTCCAGCGACTTTTAATTAATAAGCAATTTTCAATGTTAAGTTTTCTGCTAAAGTTAGTTTGATAAGAACTACTTGTGATCGATCAATGATATTTTCTATAAAGTTGCATTACTATCAGTACATATCAGTTTTACGACTATTTTGAGGCCCTGCCCCCTAGGTCATGGTCCAGTGACTTTGAATTAATAAGCAATTTTCAAGTTTTCTGCTTAAGTCAGTTTGATAGGAACT